GCTGACTGGCTCTGTGGCTATTGACGACGCGAAATTTGCTATCATTTCCCTTGTAGGAGGTAGACGGCTAGCTGTAAGCTCCTCTATATACTTGACAAGCTCGTCCTCCTGTTGTGGAGTGAGCTTTTGTTGTGCAATCGCCTTCTCTTCATGCGATTGCATCTCGTGTTGATATTTTCGAGACAGGGTTGAGCGCACAACCTTATGTTTTTTAGCCAGCGCTGTCCATGGGATCTTATCGCATGGTATCATAGAGTCTATCTCTTCAAAGGCAGATTTCATAGTCATTGTGGCGTTGAGTAATTGTACAGTGAAGTATGGGTACAAAAAGGTGGTTCGGCGCATTACGCGAATCCGCGCATTACGCGCACGGACACGGTATTAGCCGCAATCTCGATTGGTTTCAACACCGGCTGTGCGCATGCAAAGTAGATAGCTATACTTCTCAAAAATCAACCAATTTCAGCCATTTTTAGATATTCTATGAATGTGCAATTGTTGCCAACATGCCAAAGGCCCCTCAGAGACGTCTGCGCAGATATTTTGAGACTCCTCCACGTGAATTGGTACCGCTGGAGGAGGAGAAGCCAGCACAGCTGCACACCCCACAACACTCGGCTGTCATAGCAATATTGTACTTCTGTCAACAACAGAAGATTCCCTGCAAACTAGAAGAGATAGAGGAGGTGTTTGGCTATCCTACTAGTACATCTTCAGATGTTGCAGCCTCTGGAAGGTGCAGAAGACTACAGAATCACAATACTGAGCCAGACACTTGTGGCGCTCTCCGTCAACTCAAGAACTCAGACGTCAATGCTATTGTTGACTACATTGTCAAAGCACCATTTGAAGAGAAGGGAGACCCTTGGTAAGATCTTGCTGAGCGTGCTGGTGTTATAAAAGTATGGACAACACACAGAGAGAATGAACAGTTCTGCACCAGAACAATCCAGAAGAGAGTGACAGAACTCAGTGGAATGAAGAGCCATAAGGCAGTGGTGAAGGAGCGTCACAGGCCAGATCAAATTAAAGACAGATGTGTCTGGCTGGATGAGCAATTGAAGCGCTTTTCCACCAACAAGAGCTGCAGAGTGATACTCTGGAGTGATAAGATTCACTAGATGACCGGTCCTTCATACAACAAGGATGTGACGAGATTGCCAGGGGATAAAAACAAGTACCATCCTTCCAATATTCAGTATGAAAAGGACCACAAGCCAGACCCAGAAGAGCAGGATTTCTTCCACATCTTCATTGTCATAGGGTATGATTTCAGGTGGTGCATCCCATACAAGACTGGCAAGAAGAATGGGAAGATGAACAGTGAAGTATACTGTGCTCAGATACTTCCTGCGCTCAAGTCTGAACTGCTAAGAAGAGGGGGAGAGTATATGCTATACCAAGATCTGGATTCAGCTCATAAGAGTGCTCGTTCAAAGAAGTGGTTGTATCACAATGGTATTAATTACATTATGGCACCCCCAAAGTCACCAGATATGAGTATTTCTGAAACCTGGACAAGCCAACTACGCCGTGCTTTCTATGAGAGAAGCTGCCCATCTGAAGCGGCTGGTATTGCAAGGTTTTACAAAGTGTGGGATCAGCTGTCAGTAAAAAAGATCAACAACACAGTAGATGGGTATCGCAACCGCCTTGTGAACATTTGTAACATTTACCAAGGCGCTGCAAGTAAATACTGATTAAGCACAATCAATTGGTCTATTCAGAATTTCAATAACTGCTGTGGTTGTTGAATATTTGCGTTGTGAAATACCCTCCTTATTTCCGACTTTCACGCTCGGACGAGAGCTACAGTACTAGGCCAAAAGTTTGTTCGCTTAGCGGACTTCCTCACCAAAAGTCACCTCTTTCACCTTAAGATATCTACCCTTCTAAATAACACAGAGCTATAAAATTATACTTTTTGAAAAAATTTAGTAGAAGAGTATATTCTAGAAGTCTTAGATCTTTATCTTATTTCTAAGACTAGAGAGAGAGTAGAGAAGATAGCAAAGATAGATCCTCTAAGAAAAAAGGAAGATTAAGCGGGGTTTATTACTAGTTCCTCTTTACCCCTCCTCTAATTCTATACAAACTTAAGATTAATTGCTAAAACTTCAGAGAGTGTTAAAAAGAGATATTTACTTCTATACTTCTTTATCTTATATTATTTAAATAATCAGAGGCTGTTATATTTATAGAATATGGTCAATTTTGGTGGGGTAAAGCCGTCGCGAACAGACTTTTGGCACCCGACTGTAACGTATGTTGGTCTGTGGTAACCACTGTGCGCACATTATCCTTTTCCTCCTCTTGCTTGCGCGCGTTGAATAAGCGCTGAACAGTCTCGTGAAGCGCGCCTCGGACTTCTACTCCATCCACCCTCTCAAAGACCGCGTGTAGCATGCTGTCGATCTTAGCCACCCAGTCCATAATCTTGCGCTTGGAAATGGGTGTAACGAAGACATCGAAGACATCGAATGCATCCATGCTGTCGTAGCCCCACCCGAGACTGTTGGCGGTCCTGTTGAGCTTGCGACCTTGCTGCATAATGGATGTGACAGTCGTGTCTGTCATAAGGGCTAGATTGTGAGTTTCGAAGCCGTGAGGTACGAAGTTGAGAGGAAGGGTAGACGATTTCGTACGGTGAAGACCGCCATCTATCATTCGACGAAGCCGAGTATTAGCTGCGAGCTGGGGTGCGTACGTCATATCTGAAGACCTAGTTTTACGTACAGGGCTTGAGGCCGGGCCTGGCAATGTACCTTGATGGATTTGGAAGAGTGTATCCATCTCCTGAGCTGTACCCGTTGAGCGACGGTACAAGTCGGCCGATTGTGGTCTGCATGGTGAACTTCGCATTGAGCTATCTTGCTCAGCGTACGCTCGAAGTTGTTCAGCCATGTGCTGTGGGTGTGGGTCACTTGATCGAGCAGGAGAAGTAATATCAAGCGAGGCACGCCTTCCCAGGCCGAGGAAGTCACGATTGTCAGTATTGTTCTCCGAGGTCAGTCTCGCCTCTACCAAACGTTCGGCTGCCGATAAGACCAGAGACATCTGCAAATTGAACGCATCACCATTAGAATGGAAGGACAGACCTTGTTGTCGAGGGCGCTTTTGAGGACGAGAGGCTTTGGCCGCGTTACGCATGGACAGACCGAACCAAGTGTCATTCGACTGGGGAGCTGGCTGTACAAATGGTTTGTTATTGAACGATTGTTGGGGTCTAGGATTGCGTCGTGGGGCTACCGAGCCCGCAAGCAATGCATCCGAGACGGCTTGAGGTGCCGTTTGAACAAAATCAGGAGGCATTCTCTCTTCGAATGATGGCAACTCAGGAGAGCGATTCATCCGTGGACCTGGACTGTGACCAAACACTGAACCATCAAGAGGAGCAGGCCTTGGTAAGCGTTGAAAGCTTTGCTGTAGCTCATCGTTGAGTCGATCACTGAGTGCGTTGGCTTGCGATGAGGTCTGAGAGGTCAAAGGCTCGACGGGCCTAGATTGATGTGGTGTAGCCGCGGGTACAGGAGACCGAGGTGCTGTAAATGCATCGCTTTGGCTTTTTATTGGACTAAGCAACTGTCCGTTGCTAATTGGCTTTTTGGGCTTGATGGGAGCGTTCATGCGGGCAATTGTCCACGGGTTGGAGAGGGCTGCGTCGTGGCGATCTACATCGGGTACGTTCTCCTGCAAGAACTTAAGATCTTCGTCGAGACTGTACATGCTTGACCTCCAGTGTGGTTGCTGCTGTTGTGCTGTCGAGCTGGAAACATCGCTCTCCTCAACAGGGGGGTCTTCATGAATGGAGAAGGACATCTGTGGTCTTGGCAATGGCTCCTCGACGTCAGATATCTGAGTTGGCTGCGTGACCATCAAGTCTTTTGACTCGGTCTCCTCGGTAGGATTAGCACTGTTCGCATTCTCCGGATAGTATGAGACAAGCAGTCGGTCGACCATCGCAATGATAAAGTTCTTGTCGCCAAAGATGACTTCGTCTTTCGCAGGCTCAATATTGGGATCGTAACTGTCGACTGGACAGATGATGTTCAGGCAAAAGAAAGGGTCCTTCACGTTTGCGAGTGTCGAGTTAGCCTTGCGGAGTTTCTCTCGGACGGCGGTCGCAATCTTCTTGAGAGTGCCTCGGTTGAAAGACACCGGTCTGGAGTCAACTGAGATGAAAGTACCGTGGTTTGCAACCTTTGACCCAGTTGCAGTGGGCTTGGCAAGAACGCATGTAGTTCGAAGCCGCTCAATTCGAGTTCTGTACAGTCACATTGCAAAGCGCACTCTGTGCCAATGATCTTGAGAGCAGCATCTTCGACGTTGGCGTTCGCTTTGGGTGCATAGACGAAGTCGCCTTTGTTGTTCTTCGCCTCCAAGACGTGCAGTCTGAACCGAACGGCAGGTCTTGCGAGCGCATAGGCCTGCATGAGACGTCGGATCTTCGCAAGGCATTTCGCTGAACCTTTGATGGCCAGCTCTTCCCGGACCTTCGCTGACTCCAGCAGTTTTGTAACCTTGACTGTAGTGCCGACTGGATGGGAGTCGCACTCTGTTCTGCATTGCTGTCAGCATTGTGGTTCACTTACCCCTGAGTCGACGGACTCACGAAGTGAACTCGCCATTGCGCTTATAGGTGAGCTTTACAGCCACTGGCTCACCCTCCACGCGAGTCGTGGCCAATACTGTACCGGTCATGTCGGCTATACTAGCGAGCGCTTCACCACGGAAGCCGAGCCACTTGCCTCCTACCTCTTTCAGACCGTGGAAGTCTCTGATCTTACTGGTGCAGTAGCGACGGCAGGCGAGTGCTCGGTCTTCGCCGGGTATGCCGTGACCGTCATCCTTGACCTGAATCGAGTCGATCGTGTTAGCAGTGATGTCAACAAAGATACTCTTCGTTCGTGCATCGAGGTCATTATCGATCAGCTCCTTGACGACTGAGGTGGGGTAAGTGAGCAGTTGGTGAGAGCCTATCTGTCGCACTGTTGTTGGTGGAAGCGCTGCGATACCTGGCGGTGCACTGCCTCCTGCCTCGTCTGTCATTATCTGCACAGTGTGCAGCGTTTCGCAAGCACTGGTAAGCTTGGTTTGAACTCAGGGTGTGGTGAGTCTATCGGCTTGCTCAACATGAGCAAGCTCATCGCGCCTTCCTTCTCTGCTTATCAGCAGCCCGAATGGCCAGGTCGACCACACGAACGGCGCACCATCAGGCGACGCAGCTCTGCTACTTCCGCTGACATCTTAAATGCTCGCCCACCGTGTTTCGTTATATCTAGACGATTTGGATGAAGTTGTAGATACGAAGCGCAAAACCATCCACCTTGAAGTTGAGGATGCTTTCAATCTGGCCAATCACAGCGCTGCCGCTCCGTCATCGGGAATTACGAACTTCTGAGAGCGCGCAATGAGTCGGCTCCATCTCTTTATCAACACCCTCCCTACTTAGCGATTCCTAAAAAGCTCGTTTTGTGCTCGATTCTTTGTTCTTCCTGAGTCGATCGTTGTGTTGTGTGTTCCTGCAACGCCAGTAGCCAGGCTCATTGAGTGCCCCACTTTTGAATCGAAGGCCGATTTCGCGTGTGGTTTAACCTAATTTTCGGAGTTGACATATACTGTATGTATGGATATCGCTCGTCGGCCGAATTTTTTCTGACCATAGAACTTCTAGATCTGTGGCGAGACCGTAAATGTCTTACACAACAGATGCTCAACGTTGGCGAGCGTTGGCGACTCGTGATCCCAACGCCAACGGGCATTTCTTCTATTCAGTCAAATCAACGCAGATATACTGCAGACCAACTTGTCCTGCAAGACTTGCGCGACGAGCAAATATAAGCTTCCAGAAGACCATTGCGGAAGCAGAAGCGTTGGGCTTTAGGGCATGCAAGCGATGTAGGCCGAACGTCGAAAACGAAGATCCACAGGACAAAGCTGTCGCGAAGGCAATGGGCTTTATTGAAGAGGCGGCAAGAAAGGGCGAAGCGAAGACCTTAAAACTGCATGATCTCGCGAAGAAAGTCGGTCTTACTCCGAGATACTTCCACAAAATCTTCAAAAACAAGACTGGCACGACACCACGAGAGTACACGAACATAGTCGCGGCGCAACATAGTAGCTCGAGTCTCACATTGGGGTCCGAGGCGAACCCATCACAAGTGAAATCCTTTGACTGGGACACGTTCGATATCTCTGAACTAGCAGAATACCAGTTCGACTCGAATGCAATATTAGACGACGACTTCATGGCGAAGGCAGCAGAGATCTCACCTGCAGGGACTGGTGAGACCTCATCATTGCAGACCTGGGTTGTAGGACCACCCGAATGTGATAACTCAGACACCGATTCCACACTGTCGCTTGAGCAGCTGTCAAACTTTAGCGGATTGGATCCTACTATCATCGACTTTGGACAGTATCAGAGTACGAAAATAATGCCCGTGGATCCGGCTTTCGACTTCGATCTAAATATGGCCATGTTGCTCCACGATGATATAGCGAGTGCTGGCTTTGTACTGGACATGGCACAAGATTGGTCCGGATCAAATATTCCAATTGCACCAGGTCCCTGAGCTGACCGCGTATCGGCAATGTAGATGTCGTGTGTTATGGTCGCAGCGAAGAGCGCCCAGGCTCGGTATAACGTTGGCACAGATTCGGTGTTAAACGGAGAATATTATGTATTTGTCTACTCTTGCTATATCTCTGGTGCCATACTGTCGTTGTCCGTGCAATGCGTTGCAATCCACCAGCAGCCCCATCGTGACCGTAGCTCCCCCAGCAGAAATCGAACGGCCGCATGTGGTCGGCATGCGGCGGCCATGTACGTTGCGAGAGCGAAGCGGCAGTCTATCGTGCGATCAAATCACCTGCATCTGTGATTCCAGAGTCAGTGCATGTGTCATGACAGTGCCTGCAACGTGTAGTGGAAATTTCGCTCTCAGCGACCGATTTATAAGCAGCGACGGCGTAACATATGTCGATGCTAGCCATACCTTTTCCGGCTCTTCCTATAGATTGATATGGTCTAATGTATCTCATCTTGTAGCGTGGGAGGGGTGCTTTGCAGAAAATTGAACGTACCACTGAAAGCGCATAGGCTGCGTCGTTACTGCACATTAGCAACAAGACAGGCAATTAACACATGTAAGCGAAGGAATCGTAGAGCGAGCTGCTATGGGCGCGTGATACGCGCAACATGTTCGTGTTGTCCAGCTGGTGAAGCTTCGAAGCTTCGTTGGAAAAGTTGATTAAGACCCACACTGCCAAGATCACTAACTGCATAGAGCACTAGCCTAATAACCGACCTGAGGCGCTCGCGGGCAATAGCTATCAAGGATCTGCTTATGTACACATTACTATTTGAGATTATGATTACGATCCTGACTGTCCTTTCTTTCGATGGTCAGGATCAGAAAGTAGGATCGTCTTCGCTAATGGGCACCAGATTACCCTTGCCCTGGAAAAAGCTTCGTCAGTACGTTCTCGGGATTCGAAGAGCATGACTTACCTTGAATACCTCCACGATATTCGCTTGCTCGCTCAACATGAACCGACTTGTCTGGTTTCCCACATCGGCCAACTTCCTCCATTTCTCCAAGCTGTCCTTGTGTCTCTTATCTCCGTGGGCTACCTCTGCCTGCTTCCAATGCCCTTCGGAGAACGAGATCAAAGTCGTGATCTTCTTCTGGGGAATATCATAGACAGCAGAGACTACGGTTCCGGTTTCTTCGAGCCAGTTGATCTGCCAAAGCTCGCCAGGACGGATGCACTGATACGTCGCGCGTTGATAATTTACTCTGCCGGCCATGGGTCCGCCGTGAATGGCATAGATGACACGGTCATCTGAGAAGCACCAGAGCTCATAGCGCCACTTCTCAGGGTTACCGTCCTTGTCTTGCGCGTCATAATTGTAGATCAGATGTGTGTCCTTGATGTCTTTGTCGAAGGATGAGTGCAGTGGAGTATTGGTCAGGAAGTCTGGGAGTTTGTCGCCTGGAGCCATTGTTGCGGGAGATTAGATCAACTTGATGAGGTTGTAAGGAATATTAACGTCTGTTCTTGCGGTTGGGGAGGTTGATGTACCTTCAGCTTCGTACTTAACGCGGCACTACCGGAAACGGATGACGTAGCACATCACGATATGCAGACACTATGTCGAGGAAGAAGCATCTTCCTGTAAACCTTTCATTCCTCTTCATGTTATCTTCGGTTGTTGTTTTCGGGGTATCTTCACTGGTCATCCACGCTATTCCTCGACGACGCAACAGATCTCCAACGTTCAGTGCATGTGCCCTGCATCACGCATTGTGGGCGCGATCATGCGATCCAATACATAACCGGAAAGGTGCCACGACAGAAGCGGTCAGCATGGTTCGGCGCACAGTTCGGCGAGGCACACAGGTACAGTGCACCTCTGCGCAACGTGCTACTTGTTACCAGTCGCTACACGACCAGCGGAACCGAATCTTCGTTTGTTTGCTGCGACACAAGACCACATGCCTGATCGGAGGCTGTACTCGCTGATAGATTCGGCTTCCATCTCTTCTGGTAGCAATCCATCTGAGAGAAGGCCAGAGGTCCGAGGCAAGGCAGCAGCTGTTGCACAACAATGAATGCAGAGTGGAGGAATGAAGTGTCATCGCTTGCGCGTTGTCAGACTCGTGTAACTTCACTCGGGTTGTTTCGCCGACTCGATCTGGTTGGTGAACGGTCGTCTACAGCTAGCATCAAATTACCTATTTCCAGATGAAGAACATATTGTGGTTTGGCTCTCTAGGCCATCGCAGCCACAAGCCTGAGGCATCAGTCGAGATGTACCTCTGCGCCCGTGAATGGCTTCGCTCGCTCCCGTCTGAGGCCCCACCTCCCGCTAGTGCATCCGCTGTAATGGTTCACCTGGATCAGCCCTGTGAAATGCTGTCTGCTCTAGACTCGTGGAGACGATGACTTAACGTCCAGTTGTCTCAATAATGTCATCTTGGACATCGCACTTTGAGGGGCCGAGAGCGCCAGATAGGCTCGGCTCGTGGGAAGCTAACGTTGCCAGCTGGTGAGGAGCTACGCAGAACAAGCGCCGCGCACCTGCTGTCAGCTCACCGACACAGCAGAGGCGTCTGTCCCTGCGCGAGACGCGAAAGCATCCCGCAACTCGCGTCGAACGTTTCAGTACGTTCTCGAATAATCGCGCTGTACCTACCGCAACCTCAGCGCGCTATCTGAGCCAAGGGAGGACAACCCTACTTCATTGGGAGTCCATCGTCGCCGAGCTCAAGTCCAGAGAGAACTGGCATGCGTAAGATCAGTCGGTACCGTCCTGCGCCCCTTGACCGGCTAACCGAGAGAAAGGGCGGAATGGAGTGTGTGTCCTGGAGGACTGCATGCCGTTTTGTAGCAGGCAGCCACGCTGAGGAGCTTATACAGGTTACCGGAAACGCCGCTTCCAGCGGTCAGGACACTTCCGCATGGGGTTCCACCCAGCAGGAAATGACTGTCTTAACGCTCATTTCATGGAGTTACTGCTGCATCCAGCTAGTTTCGCGAATGGTCCTGGCTCTACCCCATGCCCACCGCAACTTGACCCCGGCCCGGTCATGCAGCGTCACGCAGGACAGGTGCAGTATGACAGGGGTCAGCGGGGACACCATGGACTTCTAGCCCCCCCCTGCCCTTCCAGCTGTTTATCAGCAGTAACGGTCACTACAGTTCAGCCTTCTGTCCCTCAGCATCTCCGTGCCTTATCACATTCCTCCCAGCTTCAAAGTTGTCTCAGTGCCAAGACAACTCACTGCGCTTTCGGTCAACCTGGAGACATCAACCCATCTACTCTCTACTACTCGCTCACGGCCAAATCTTTGGATGCATTCAATTTACTACGCGCCCAACATGGGCAGGGAAGAGCTGATATTCCATGAGCGCCTGGAACTTCTACGCAGTTCTGCTTTCGAATCTGAGCATGCCTGGCAATACGACACATCGTATATGGAACACGAAGCAGCCGCAGTAGCGCTTGAACAAGAGATTGAACAGTCGTTAGCAAGCATATCGCCCGACGAGAACTCAGACGAACAAATCCGGATCATCAAGACACAGATCACAATACACAGGGAACGGCAACGTGCCTTGAGGCCACATTTGGAGAGTGGTAGTGGTGACTTCGACGGATGGGGAAATGAATGCATGTTCGTACCTGCGCCAAATCAATGGGGCGCAAATGGGGACCTTGACGAAGAGAGCGAGACTTTGTCTTCTGTGTGTTGACCCCCTAGAATCGCCTTATAGCTTGCACATGAGCTAACGCGTCTAGATACACAAGCTACTCACCTGGCAGTCGTCGTCACCGATATCAGTCACACCACCATACTCACTACTTTACGATGAACTACCATCCCCAGACATCCCTTACTATTCGATGCTGGATGCATACCAAGCACCAACAATCTACCATCTTCATCGCACACGGGAATGGACTGGTCTCTCAGGCAGCCGCAATTACGTGTACACAGCGCGCGAGCACTCCGACAAGTACGCTATGTATATGCTCGAAGCTATGCATCGTGGCGATAACCAAATCACTGCTGCCGACTTCTCCAGAATTGCCGAGTATCCAAAGACATGTATACACATACTCCTCTCTGGTATCGAGAAGCAGCGTCTGTCCACATCGTCGAAGGATGCCGCCTACAAATCCCGGTGTATACATCTGGATGTCAAAGATGCATTTGCACAGTCCGTCAAAGAATACCCGGACCGACAACAGAAGATCCCATGGTCACCACGGCGCTTCACTTATGGAGGTCGACGTTTTGTGTGGAAGTCCGGAGACTCCAAGGATGACTCGATGCCTGAGACGCTGTACGAATTTCGGAATGATTGGGCGAAGCCGGGTAGCCGAACTGGAAAGCGTTGCGATGATGCACAAACGACGAAGCTAGTATGGGGTGAGAAGAAGAGGAGTGGGAAGGTCGACAGCTATACAATACATTTCGCTGGCGGCATGGACCAAGTGTTCAGGGAAATCCTGCTTGCCAGCCAAATGGCACGACAGATCTGTTTGTTCACGGCGATGAACTGAACAACTACCCAAACTATTAGGAAGCCAGAGCTGGGCTCATGGACTCTTTCATGCATGTACGATGTGTAATGACTAGGATGGACCGACTGGATCGAGTATGGGGATGAGCAGATACCCTTAGGAGGCGTTTGGAAATATTATAGAAGGCGGAACGACACCTTCATCATATACATTTATTAGCACAACTTCCTCTAATAGCTAGAATGCCAATCGACAGGTCGATGCATACTCCAATGTCGTTGTTTTTCCATCAATGTTCTGACGAGACGTTCCATTGAAAGGCTTGAGATGCTGATTGACTTCGTTTCATTCCAAGCCCTGAAGGTTCCTAAGTTTCTATTGGAGAACGTACGAAAATTTAGCATGCTTAGCTGAGCCCTATCAACTATGACATAATCACCTTGCATCTTGCCTTAGAATCCCCACCAAACACGCCACTTTGCTGCAACTTCAATGTCAGCCTTACGCATTCTGCAGGGCCATCTCCAGACTCGTGAGCTGTGCTTACTTTCGCAATGTTCTTGTAACGGCCACTTGTGTCGCTGTCATTTTGCTCCTCACACTAATTTCTCACTCAGCTCTCCACATTGCAACCCTAGCTTAACGCCTACCGCTTTGCAGTGCCTCGCCATACCCGACAGCTCGTCACTACACCCCCAACCAGGAACCACAACCGCCATTCACCGCTTTCGTCAAAGCCACCGACTTTCTGTCAAATCAAAGAGCCACAACAGACGAACGCGCATACTGTACTTTGTCAATCGTGCATATACACACTACACGCCGTTGCGTGAGCAACACCACCAGGCATGGCTTCAACACGTAGCACGACGCTCCGCAATATCACGTCTGAGTTCTGCGCAGCCCTGATCTCACCTCCTCCGCCATCAGAGCTTCTATCACAGTACTTCTCCAAAAATCCCCAGATTACCGAGCATGGCCCGGAGTGGGCACGCTCACGCCTCCCGTTCCTCGCAAAGACTTTCACGGGCAAAGATGGGTGCGAGGAGTACTTCAAGCTGATGACGGGGACCCTCGAGATGTCTCTGAGCAAAGATGCGTTTCCACACGCAAAAGCCTTCAGCGTTGATGCCGAGGCTGGGGTGGTGAGCGTGGTAGGCAAGGGACATTTCTCGAGCAAGAAAACAGGCAAGGGCTGGGATGAGCAGTTCATGCACAGGTTCAGCAACTTTGACGAGCAAGGCAAGATAGGGCATTGGGAGATCTGGGCGGATCCATTGAGCGCTTGGGATGCTGTTGGCGAGTAAGCAACGTGCGCGCATTGCTGAGTGCAGAGCATGCGAAGTTCACAAGACGAAGCAGATTGTTATCAGCCAACTGCTGTCGCAGATACAAGCTTTTGATACTTACAACAACCTCGCTCCTCAAAGTGTGCATTCGTTGTATTCTGGTGCTGATTTTGACCCCGCATCAATAATCTCAAATGCGCGCTTCACCGAGGCTAACCTCAGCTCGACGCAGCTTACTCGAACATCAACAGCATGTAGACAAGCAAACTCGTTCGCCCGTCTATATGGCAGGAAAGCATTTGCAAGAAAGAGCAAGGAACCAAGCGGCTCAACATGTCTTCAAAGCAATCAGCCCGGCATGATCTCGACGATACCAAATTGGGCGCATACCTACAGCAACACATCCCAGACCTAAGGCTACCTGTGGTATCGACGAAGATTGGATACGGGCAGAGTAACCCAACGTATTTCGTGGACGACGCCAATAAGACTCGATACATTCTGAGAAAGAAGCCAAGCGGAACTATCATATCTCCAGTTGCCCATCAGATTGATCGAGAGTACAAAGTACTCAAAGCACTTGGCCATGTCGAAGGCTTCCCAGTACCACAGGCGTATTGCCTATGTATGGATCCTTCAGTGATTGGGACAGCCTTCTACGTACGCAGTTCTCTCCCTGCAACGACTATAATAAAAACGCATACTGACACACCACCAGGTAATGGAATTCGTAAAAGGCCGTATTATCACCGATCAAAATCTCTCAACCTTACCTCCAACACAACGGCGCTCAGCCTGGTTCTCTCTGATCTCAACACTCGCATGGCTGCACTCCATCGACCCAGACTCCATCGGTCTGTCAGACTTTGGCAAGAAAACGGACTTCTACACGCGCCATTGCAACACATTCTCTCGCATCGAAGCTCAGCAAGCTAAAGTCAAAGACGTCAACACTGGTACAGAGCTCGGCCGTGCCCATCCAAACTTTGACGAGATTGTAGACTACATTCGCAAAAACGTGCCGTCTGACCGCACCAGCATCATTCACGGTGACTATAAGTTCGACAATGTGATCTTGCATCCCACAGAGCCAAGGGTCATTGCAATACTCGATTGGGAATTAAGTACGCTGGGCAACCCAATGATGGACGTGTGCTACGCTTGTGGACCGTACTGGAACCGGGCGCAGAAAGGTGGTGCGGTGAGAGATGACCAGGGTGGTGAGGTGTATCTGCCTGAGAACCAGAGAAGTAATGGTATGCCGAGTATGGATGAGTTGGTGGATGAGTATGCGAGGATTACGAGGTGGGATCCGAGGAAGGATCAGTGGGAGATTGCGAAGGTGTTTCATTTGATGAGGGTATGTTCACTAGGTTGTAACGCAGAAGGATGTGTGCTAACAGCAGGAACAGGGCAGCACGATCAGTCATGGTATTCAGGCGAGGACTATTAGCGGGCAGGCGAGCAGTGAGTTCTCGCATATTTACTTCGAGAACACGAAAAGGGGCTTAGACACAGCACTAGCAATGATAAGATCGATGAAAGAGAAGGAGACATCGAAGAGCAGTTTGTGAATGTGCCAACAAGTGGCGATTTTGGTTTGCGAATAGTAAAAGTGCAGAACAGTAGGGGTATATCAATCTTAAGCCAAGGGAGACTCCATCATACGGTCAAAGATGGCTTTTAGCTTGACCCAACACCTTCACCTCCGTCATCACCGTCACCATCTAGTTCTTATAGCTAGGCGGCGCAACCTCGAAGCCCGCCTGCCTCTCTGCCTTCCTAGCACGCCTGCGCTCCCTCCTCTCAAGCTCCTTCGCAACAGCCTTAGCCAACTTCCTCCTCTCCTCGCGCTCTCTCTCCTTGATGATCTGCTCCCTGCCTTTTCCTGACCAGACCGCGCGGAACTCCTTGCGGAACTTCTGCTTGAAGGTGAGAGTCTTGTCGTTCTCTTCCTCAGCCTTCTTGGCCGCAAACTCCTCCTCGTCGTCGGTGTCGAGGAAGTCGTCTTCGTCTTCGTCAATCAGGGGGTCGGAGGCTTCGGCGTTGACGCTTTTGAGGTTGCGCTCCTTGTCCCATTTCTTGGTGCGCGAGTATGCGATGCAGGCCGTGGTGAAGAGGACGACGCCAAGAGGGAAGGTTACAAAAAGACCCATGACCACGATCATGGCGATGAGGTCTTCGTCCATTGTAGCGATTTGGTAGGTGTCTAGATTTGTTTGTAGGTGTTTGAGTGACTTGAGTCGGTGTTTGAGTGCGTGGTGGAGGGGTCTGGGGGTGAGTGACTTGTTGCCTGATATAGGAGATATAAGTCGGTCGCCACCGCCCAGGGACACAGTTGTAAAGGCCCTTGTTGCCGAGGCGCGGAATGTGCACCGCCACGTTACGTCATCCGCGGCGGTTTCACGTGCTTCGGTTTCCTGGAGTTTCTAGAACATCAACATCAACTTGAGGCCAGATGTTCTTCCTCACCTCTCGCAAGCCATTTACAGCTGAAAGGTCAAAGAATGCATAGTGGGACCAGATGTTCGGGCATTGAAGACTACCTCCGGAGCAGCTGTTGCATCCTCAACTGCACTTTCTGATCTGCACCCCGATACTGCTTCTGTACTACTCCGACAAGTGTGTTGGTTTCCAGCAGCATCCATCTCATGTCTAATTACATTGTTTCTTTGTGTCTTGCTTGTTGTCTTAGACACAATAAGCTTCTTTGTTGCAGGTGCCTACATTAGAGGCACCTCATCACTCTAAGATAGATTCATTCCAATTCATCTTATCTTCTGCATAGTGCTGGTTCAACAAAGTGTACCCATGGTACCCCTCAGACACAGCGCTGCGGATTGATGGCTCCCTTGTGGAGTCGTGGTCTTTAAAGTGGGCTGTGTTGTGGAGAGAAGTGGATCTTGTGGGTGTCGTTGTTGGCTCTCAAAGGTGCTGTCTAGACGACGAAGACTGCTTGGCTGTGGTCCTCTAGACAGTCAAGGCTTCTCTTACATCGGGAGCAAACCTCACCGAAATCGGCTCTGGGATTCGGAATCCTTCCCTCGCATTTGCTTCGAAACATTTTGTTCACTGTGCCCAGAATTGCCACTCTCTACCAAGGCTACCAAGTCATTGTTTGTGGCATTGCGAGCATTACGTTGTTGGTGGGCTGTATTACTATTGTCGCAAAGAACGTATCACAGAGAGGTCGCATAGCTGGGAAGGGCAACAAATGCTATAGTGCATTGAAATTTGATCTCTATCATTGACCGACCGTCTGGACGCGTGTAGCGTCTCATCGATCTACATGCAGAATGCAAAGCCCATGGTATATGTGCCCTTCCCGTTTTGACGCCAGCGCTATGCAAGAAGCAGATACGTAGGGAAAAAGTTGTTAGATTACAGTGGTGGCCGTTGAGGGGAGCTTAAGAGCTTCTATGTCTAAGTACATGTGAGAAGCGCTGAGCCTGCAGACGACTTGTGAGAAAATGAGATGCGGGTAATAACAGGAGCATGGGGTATAAAGGAGTGTCTGTTGCTATTGCAGCGTGACGCTTGTTTGCTGGCTGAAAGAGCGAATGAAAGGAAAATAGGAAACCTTGTGATGGGTGTCAGCACAACACACGTAGTCGTGCACTCTGCGAAACACCGGATTTGCGCAATTTGGTGACGTGTTTGCAGTTCTGGTGATGTGCTCTTGATTTGATCTAGTGATCTGCGACGTCCTCGTCCCTCATGGGATAGAGGATATCACCGACGATTACGGATCGTACGTGATTGAACAGCACGAAGAACCACATCGCAATGATGGCAATAGAGAGGCCATTACCAACAAAAAGAATCGTTTCATCCTTCAGGGCATTACCGATGGAGATGGTGGCGATGGCAAATCCGGTGTTGGGGAAAACCATGGCCCACCAACCCAAGTGGAAGTAGACAGCCCATGAGTTGATAACCTGGCAGTGAGTTAGCGGTGATATGTCAAGAAACAGTTGTAGGAACTTACAGCAACGAGAGCAATCATGAAAAACCACATAGCCAGTACCCAGAGAAACAAAGCAGCAACTAAAGCCAGAGTGCGAATGAGTTTGCCATCCAGGAGGCCGTCGCCCTGCAGATCGAAGTCCTCAGGGAGAGCGTTCGCCATACCAATGAACGCCAAGCAGGTGAAAGAGGGTGGGCCAACTCCAATGAACATGGCTCCACGGTGCTCGCGGTCCGGGTAGCCAACCTGCATAAGGCGACCAATGTAATGGGCGTACATGAGAATGGCAACCGTAAACCCGAGACCTTGACATCCAAGACCAGCCACAATAATGGGATACCTGGCTGAAAGAGGCTGATCAGCAGCGATGACGGAAGCGATGGTTCCCGACAGCATGATGGGGAAGATAGGTAGCAGCCACGAGGGCATGAAGCTGGTCAACTTGTAGGTGTGCGCGCAGAACAGGAAGGAGTATTGGAAGACAGCCAGGCAGAAAGCGAAGAAGGTGTAAAGCCAGAATGCGACTGACATGCTGGTGATAGCCCAGGCGCGATTGGGGTGGTCGACCTCATAAGCCTGGATGATGTACTTCTGTGTTCCAGTGATGATGGTGGCGACTGAGAGGAAGAAAGGACCCAAGAACAAAGCCTCACGCTCGTGCGTGATAGAGCCCTTGAAAGCACCAGGAAATTTGGTGAATCGCAAAACCATGGTTCCCGTGATGCCGGTAAAGAAGATCAGGTTAATGATGTAGAAGACGGCGCCAATGGTGATCAAGCCAGGGAAAGCATGGGGCTGGACAGCAATCAGTGTTGAGATACCGCCCGTGGCCATGGTCAGGGTGTACCAGGCCCATGTGAAATGGCGAAGTCGTTCGCCAAATGTCATGTACGGCTGATTTGGATCCTTCCTATGTGGCAGCTTCGAGTTGTGGTCCCAACCGTTTCCATGGCCGTGGTCGTCATCGTGCTTCTGCTTCTCAAGGTCGAAAGAGGCCGGAGGTGTCGGCATGGGAGGAGGTCGTGGTGGAGGGTCGTTGAATGGGTTCTCTGCCTCTTTGCCTTTGGAGTCAATAGGATAACCGTTGGCATCTACGGATCCTGGTAAGTAAGCATCGCCAGTGGGGTAAGGACCTGCAGGCGTCTGGACCCAAGTGTTGGACCGGGTGGTCTGTTGAGACTGAAGAGGGTACTGGTTCCCCTGTTGCATGTCCGTGGGCTGCTGAACGTTCATAGGCAGGTTGCGGCTATCAAGTGGAGGGCTCTGATTTGGGTACCTGTTGTCTGGCTGGTATGTCTGGGGTGCATACTGGACTGGTTGGGGAGGAGAGACTGGTCGGACTGAGGAGGGGAGGCCAGTCTGCATGGGGTACAGACCAGGTCGCGGGTCGGAATGCGGGCGGGAGTAGCTTGGTCCATTGTTGTCGAAATTAGGGCTGAAGTTGTTGTTGTCCTTGATGTCGAAGGTCAATCCCTCAGGCTGGAATCGTGAATCCATTTTTTGATTTGGAGAGAGGTGGCCTGCACCGTGGGAACTAACGAACGGAGACGCCTGTAGATAAAGTGAAAGAATATGACATGCAGAACAGTAGATCAATAACAATTAATTCAGCACCGGGCTGTTAGGAAAGGAGATGGACGCGAAGTGCAGGAGGCGAAGTAATAACAAGTGGAGAGCAAGATCAGCATGGGGGTGTGGGCGTTCACCAACTCGATGTCGTTTCGAACCATGTACCACAATCGGCACTAGATATTTCTAGCAGTTAGCTCAGCGACTCTGAGCACGACGTAGGGGTGGATTGGTTCCTTGACAAGCTTGGCTGAAGTGATGTGTTGCGTACTTGCTCCTGGTATCCACATCAAAGCGCCGAATAAGCTCTGCAACAGGGTCAATGCACGTGCATCTTGATAACATTCTGAGGTCGTCTTCGCCTCATCCCAGTCCGTAAACGGAAACACATGCCTTGGCAGCGTCCGCTCCGCCAAGGTATTTAGACAGGCAAGATCTCTCGAGTGTTGAGATAAGAGTGCTGTTGAACGCGCGGGATCTGCAACACTTGTCATTGCTTGTGCAGAAGAGAAAAACAACGTCATTGTGCGCAAGCAAGTGTAGTTCAAACTCACCATCGTGCAGACTACGCCGTTGGTCCAGATGCATTTCACCGAAGTGGGCTTGGCAAGCGCTCCGCTGTGATGCGGTGTTCACTTTGGAGTAATGGAGAGCCTGTTGCACAACTGGAGATAACAGTGAGGAGAGACGTTTGCGCTCAGAATGAAAGCGGGATGTCGCCGCGGAACAGGGAGACTCCCTCCTGCGTTACGGGCCCCCATTTGGCTGGACCTGGCGGTCTCTGATTTGGATCACCATAGGATGGTGAAGGGTAATTTCCGATTTCCAATTGTAGACTGGGATGATGCTACATCCGAGAGATGGGCGGCTGCCAATTGGATGCGGCTCAAGTGCGGATTGGTGTCCGTTGAAAGGGTGTGAAACGGGCGACGAAACGCCAAAAGCGGATCCAATTGTGTCGGAGTTGATGCCAAGCATCACCAAAACTCATCCAAGCACACGGCCCCACCCACCTGGCGACGTGGAAGCCACAGCCGCGCACCAGGTAAGCTTGTCACTCTGATAAGATCGTGGGAGAATGCGTTAGCTGCTTTGCGAGTGCAGCAGATCTTGTCCAAGACGACCGTGAACGATAGGGATGCTGTCTCAACAATGCCCGAGGCCCACTCTCATGTTTGACTTCCTCCAGCCAAGCCCAAGCCTTAGACAAAAAGCCTATCTTGACCTCGACGAAGTTGTTTCTCCTCCACGTGTGTTCCAGAAGGCTGTGTCTGAGGTAGTTATGATGGAGCTGAGGTGTTGCGCTGCAGTACAAATCCACCTGGTGGAGGTCCAACGACTACATCGCTGATCGTTACGCGTCGCTGTCGAGAGATTGCGACTTGTTGCCCAACTCACACGGAACCCCTATCGCGACAAGACGGTGACTTCTAGGCGTGGGCGGTGTACTCAACCAACCAGTCAGCCTTGCACTGCAAATCGGGCCGCCATTTGAGTTTGAGGCTGGGAGATTGATGCGCAAGGAGTTCCACTGTTTGACGTAGATGCAAATGCACGCTCACTGCGTTGCTCATAACCAAGAGAACAGAATTGGAGATGAAGCTTAACGGAAGGCGGCGGCGGCAGGAAGATCAGCGCAAGGTGATGAGGCGGGAGTGGCTGGTCGCGCGCTTTCCCTTTCACAAAGCTTGCCGGCAGGGTCCACACGAACAACAACAACCCTAACAAACCCGATCCTAATTTTTCAAATGCAATGCAAGGGGAGGTAGACTTGGTCCTCGTATCTGTTAATGAGCCTTGTTCCAGTCATGATGGGAGATCGCTGTACGTTGGCAGTCCTGCCCGAGCACGAATAGATGGCAGCAATGGCAGCATTGCGCAACCAATGAGCGCAGACCAAGACAATTCTATGGTCACTGTAGGCGTCAAAAGAGTTCCCGACACCCACCCAACTTGAGCTTCGCAGACGCCACAAAGACAGTATCATCTGCATAACTCAATGCAGCGTCAGCACAAAGCAAGCTTGCGCATGTCAACGCCGGCGCCTACCGTTCTTGGCTGTGGACCTGATTCAGGGGCTACAGATTGTTACTCGTTTTTCAGTCATGCTCGTGAAGTCTCTAGTCGACTAGATGCTTCGACAAGAGAAGCCAAGAACTTTACTTGCGCCGGGTATGCCGAGTCACGTCAGAGATATATATCTAAACTTCGCAGCCAACTGTACATAGCTTCACGTGAAAGCATCGATTAGGCACAAACAAGAAAGGTCTCTCATCATGGCGCTTGATAACGACGAGCTTGAGGGACCATCACCGCGAAACGATGCTGTACCGGAGAGGTTCGGATTTGCTGCCCTTCACACGCCATACATCATACTCTCTTCTCACCCATGGCGTCTTTCTCCGATAGATCTGGTTCGACGGATATGCCAGTGATACCAACAGCTGATGGGCCTTCTTCAAGTGGGGCAACGCCGATCCGTCGAGCTTCCGCTGCGGTGAACGTTCCATACACATCGACCGAGTCCATCTGATCCATACTAGGGACTGGGAAGACGATGTTGAGAACATAAAAGACTATAGCGCTTATGAAGAAGCCTGGCAGGTGTTCAGTATCCATTTCTCTTCGTACACAATACCACACTTACCGATGAGGAAGGCCATATAGTACAGCTGCACCAATGCCCGTGGTGGGGAAAGATCCCCTCTAACGGTAACAATCAGCCCTCCAATAGTCAGAGCCCATCCGCATATCCATGCTGGTATCGCTCGCCAGTTGAACCCTCTCCAGAAGTAGTAGCAAGAGTCAGCAGTCTTGTACAAGTGAGTGAGCGTGATCCTCCTCTCCCGCAGCAAGTAATAGTCAGTGGCCATGATACCTATGATCGGGACCAGAAAGACGGAGAATGATGACAACACAGCAATGAAGGTCGTGGCGCGGTTGATAAGCTGCCATGGCTGTACAAACCATGCAGCAACGAAGGTGATGATGGCGCCGCGGCGTATATCAATGTATCGAGGAAACAGTCCGGCCAGATCGATACCTCCAGCGATAGCATTACCGCATATGTTCTCGAACATCGCTGTGAATGCGAACCCTGCGGCTAGGAAGAAGACGCCGGCGCGAGCTTTCGAACTGCCGTTTCCATTGTCCATCATGACCATAAGAAGGTCTGGAGGATTCCAGTACACTTCGCCATAGATCTTCTGTGCTGCAGCTGCAGTGACGAGACCTACGAATGAGACCAGAATGCCCGTAATAAAACAGCTAGTGATTGTGCTGTAGACATAGTGCCTGCGAGCACTAGCATACCTTGAGAAGTCCGAACCGTTCGTTATTCCAGCCGCTAGTCCACCGATGCCCTGGTTGATGCCAGCCATGATAAGCCATGAAGAGTTGAACGGAGAGCCAGCGGGTATAATTTGCCCAGCATTCCATAATGAACCTACACCTTTCGCGACGGCGAGTGCCCAGATCATCCAAGCTAACATGCCGACACCACACCAAGTACACACGATCTGAAATGGAATCTTGAACTTTTCCGGGCGAAGCCACAGGAATGGCGTCGAGAGGAACCAGAACACAACGAAACCCACAAATTGATCGGTCGTGGTAGGCATACTTGGCCCGAATGTGTTTGGCATGTGTGCAAAAGAAGGCCATATGGCTGTCAAGCATACTGCAATCAGACGCCCTCCATTCCAACCTGTCGCAAGTCAGACACTTTTCAGATTCGACAAGTGGTGGCGACGTACATTGCACAGCGTTCCAGATGAAGTTAAGCATGATTCTTTGTGAAAGTGGGATGAAGCTCCCTCTCATACCCCAAGAGTATCGGTTTTGTACAGTGAATCCGATGTGCCACTTCAAGCCGATCCAGGCGATTAAAACGGAGAACAAGACGACAAGTAGCCTGCTAACAACGATGACGAGCATGGCCTGAGGGACAGACAAGCCGAGTGCTACGAGCGATTAGCCTGTGGGATACTTTTGACACGGCTCTTACGTACTCAAGTAAATGCTTGGGGTTTGCCAGTTCGCGACGTTCAAGCTTGCTATTGCCCAAAAGCCGAAGAAGTTGAACCAACCCCTACAACGCTGTCAGAGCTACACCCAGAGCAGAAACGTAGTTTGAGGTACCATGTTCGTCGTTCTGGTGGTAACGGGATCAGGTCGCGGTTACTCCAAGCGTTGGTCTGCTCATGTCGGCTCCCATCGCCCTTGAGCCGTATGTGCTGATCGAGCGATACTAATCTCCGCCTCAAAGTCATGCTGAGATGCGAACCGCCAGAGATGATGAGAAATCAAACGAACAAGGCATCAGAGTGATGTTGAAAAGGCAGGAAATTGTCATTCAAGTCCCGCATTAACGTCCAGGCCAAGCCAACCTCCATGTCGAAATGTTCGGCGTTACTTCTCAAATGCGGAAGCCGTGATACGCGGGGATGATAAGCGACGAACGTGATAGGAAATCCAGGTGAGGGGTACGTAGTACCTTATCAGATAGAAGGTGGCGCCATGATCGATAGCATAAATGAGCATACACATAGCGAACGCAATGTTGCCTTATCATGATAGACGGATGAATTGATGCTGTTGGAGGTGGAGAGTCGAGCACTTGGGGAAGCTATGGAAGCAGTCACGGTTGACGGCTCCCGAAGTTCGGCAGGCCCCACCAAACGGAGTTTGATCTTATCTGATCGAACCGTCCCCAGCTTCCTACACCCCTCGTCCTGTTATTGGGTCCATCTGTTATACAAAGTTGCATCGAAATCTAGAGCCATGGGTGTTCCAAAGAACTTGCGCATTGGCGTTGATGTTGGCGGGTAAGAGTCTCCTATGACGTAATGCTATATCCGCTGATTTCACTTCATAGCACGAATACCGATGGAGTCATTATAGATCCTACAAGATCAGGTGAGGCTGATAAGGGCATTGTAGCATGGTGAGTAAATCCCCTTCTATCGGCGGAGGCACATGATGAGAACCTTTATCCTCTCCTCTTCAAAAGAATAGATTGTTTAAAGTAATGTTTCCAGGCACAAAGCACCCACTACGGCAGACCCCAGTCATGGAATCGCTGATGCAATTACTACCATGTTCAAGTCCGCATCTGTGGACCCCAGTTCGGTAGCCAGCGTTACGATTGGAACGACACATTTCGTGAACGCAGTGATAACGCGGGACTCAACTCGACTATCGCCGGTCGCTGTACTGCGCCTCTCTGGACCCTTCAGTAAGCATGCGCCTCCATGTGTGGATTGGCCAGCTTCACTGCGAAAGATCATATTAGCACACTATGCTTTGGTAAAAGGAGGTCTTGAGGTGGACGGCAGTCTGATATCCGACATCAAAGAGCAAGAGATCGTAGAGCAGTGCAAGATCATCAAAGAAAAGGGCATCAGGAGCATCGTAGTCAATGGCGTGTTCAGTCCAATTGACACGATAGAGAAGCAAGAAGAGCGCGCAGCAGAAATCATCAATCGTGAACTCGGCGAAAAAGTAGATACTGTGCTCAGCAAGGCTGTCGCAAACCTCGGTTTCCTGGAGCGAGAGAATGCTGCGATTCTCAATGCTTCGATTCTGTCATTTGCACGCAAAACTATCGCCTCTTTTCAGTCTCCCATCAAGAGGCTCGGATTGAACTGTCCCGTTTTCATCACACAGAATGACGGCACGATTCTCAGTGGCGAAGCGGCAAGTCGACTACCTATCCGCACATTCTCCTCAGGCCCCACGAACAGCATGCGCGGTGCTGCGTTCTTAATAGGAAAGCAAGAGAACAGTGAGGCGATAATGGTAGTTGATGTAGGTGGAACGACAACGGATGTCGGCCTACTACTTGCCAATGGGTTTCCACGCCAACAAGCAGCCTACTCTGAGCTTTCTGGCGTCAGGATGAATTTCTCATATCCGGATGTCAAGAGTATAGGTCTTGGAGGTGGTAGTCTGGTTAGGAGGATCGGAGACCGACTACAGGTAGGCCCGGAGTCAGTGGGCTATAAACTGCCAGAGAAAGCTCTTGTCTTTGGTGGAGATGTACCTACGGCTACTGATTACACCGTAGCAGGCTCGTCTGAGGTCACAATTGGCGATCCGGATAAAGTGCGAGGCAAGCTGAGTGAGAACGACATCTTAGACTTCAGGAACGAGACAAAGGCTATGCTGGAGCGCATCGTTGACACAATGAAGACTGCACCGGAAGATCTTCCTGTACTACTTGTTGGAGGTGGTGCTGTGGTAGCACCAGATAGCTTGAAAGGTGCGAGCCGTGTCATCAAGCCACAGTGGTCAGGCGTGGCGAACGCAATCGGTGCTGCTATGGCACGAGTCAGTGTTGTCGTAGACACTGTCAAGTCGACTGAAAAGCAGACTGAGAAGGAGCTGCTAGCCGAAATCTCTGAAAAAGCGAAGGAGCGAACCATTAAAGCAGGCGCTCTGGCTGATTCTATAGAGGTTGTGGAAGTCGACACGCTGCCGCTGCAATATGTGGCGAACAAGACGCGTTTCGTCGTCAGAGCGGCTGGCGATTTCGATTTCTCTCGGGCACAAGGCTTCGCAGACCTCGAGCTTACGAAAGTTGGAGAGGATATAGCGACAGAGTTGGAGAACGCACAGAACGCTATCACTCCGGCATCGACTGAGGACATCTCTGTTGAAGACGATGCAGCTCCCGAGGTTGACATCGTCGGCTATAAGCCGAAGGTTGTCAACCGCGAATGGTGGATATCCGAAACGGACCTCAATTGGATCACCATAGGCTGCTATATCCTAGGTACCGGAGGCGGCGGCTCGCCTTACTCCACGATGTTGAGGGTACGCGAGATCCTGCGAGCAGGTGATGCCGTACGAGTCGTCAGTCCAGACGATCTCAAAGATGAAGACCTAGTGGGTAGTGGCGGGGGTGTCGGAAGTCCAACCGTGGGTATCGAGAAGCTCTCCGCTGATGAGATGATGGATGCTCAGAACAGTCTCTATGAACTGTTTAAGGGCGGTCGTGCAACCCATGTGATTCCTCTAGAGATTGGAGGCTCGAACGGTCTTCAAGGTCTCGTTCTAGGTGCATCGTCGAACATGAATGTGCCGTGTGTAGATGGCGACTGGATGGGTCGTGCTTATCCAACCAAGTGGCAGACCACACCTGTTGTATTTGGGGAGCGCGAGATCGTCTTCGCTCCAGTATGTGTCGCTGATGGCAACGGTAACACGCTCTACATGCCTACAGCGACCAGCGACCTGAAGGTCGAACAAGTTATTAGATCAGCTCTGAGCCAGATGGGAAGTGCTGTCGGGACAGCCGATGCCCCAGTAACGGGTGAGGAGACGAGGCGATGGGCGGTTGAATACACAATATCGCTGTCATGGCGCATAGGTCGAGAGGTCGCACGAGCAAGAAAAGAAAACAGAATCGACAGTGTCGCTGAGTCGATCATCGATGCTGTCGGAGGGCTAGAAACAGGTCGCGTTCTATTCAAGGGAAAGATCGTCGGTGTTGAACGCAAACTTTGGATGGGCCACGTCTATGGCGAAGTCATCATCGAGGGTACCGAGGCTCAATTCTCTGGCAAGGTCAAGATACCATTCAAGAACGAGAACATCGCTGCCATCCGCATGCATGATGGCAAAGAGAGCAAGACTGGCGAGGAACGCAATGAGGACGTGCTCGCCATCGTGCCAGATTTGATCTCGGTCATTGATGCGCAGAACGGCGAGGCGATTGGAACACCTGAGTATAGGTACGGCTTGCAGGTGTTGGTCATTGGTATTACTGCTAGTGAACGGTGGACAAGCCTCAAAGGTATCGAGATCGGTGGCCCCAACGCCTTCGGTCTGAATCATCTTGAGTACAAGCCATTGGGCAAGTTTGTAAAGCCAGTCAGCGTGATCGACGAATTTGAGGGGAAGGCATGAGCTGCTACCCTTGGGCGAGGGAAGCACATCGATACCCTTGTATAAACCGGTAAATGGTAGACGTATAGATTTAGGTTATTCCGCGTCAGCATCTTTCGTGTGTTTGGCCCCTGAGTACATTGGTAGAATGACTTTAACCGCGGCCTCGTAGCTCGTGAACAGGATACCGCCACTGAAGACCGTTCGTCCCAACCGCATAGTTGTGCCCTTCCAGAACCCTCGGATACCGTAGTCAAGAAGAATGCTCTTGGTAGCCTCAAGAGTGCTTGTCCCCCTCGCACTCTGTGACCTAGTCTTGATCACGTCAAACGGTTGTGTTGCAAGCGTTGTGATGACACCAGCGACCGATCCGTTGGCAAAGTTGACGGCGGTGTTCTGTGACATATCTCTCTTCTTCTCGTAGTCTTTCAGAATATTGTAGGTGCCCATACGGAATGCTGTTGCTGATGCTTGCTTCAGAGTGGTTCCTGCAAAGCCTCTGTACAGCCCAAGAATACCATTTTCTTTCCAAATGACTCGTGTAGCGTGAAGGCCTGATCGGAATCTTTTCTCGTTACGCGCATCGTCGATCAAAGCGGTCTTTATCCGCTCAGTTGGTGTTACTGCAGTTATGGATGCCACGACACCGGCGGTCATGCCAGCCAGCAAGTTGCGCCCAGGTGACAATGTGCCCGTCGCAGGATCCGCAAATGACTCCTTGATTTGGTCGAAGAATAGGAAACGTACGGCATCTTTTCCTACCGAGCCAAAGACAAGCGCCCCGCATCCTTTATATAGTGCTCGTAGTCCCTCTCTTTGATAGACCTGTATTACCACCAAGAATGGGTTGCGTGGAGTCGGCTGCCCTTTCTCAGCTCTCAGCTGCACTCTGGTTTTTGCAAATTCGAAAGGATACTATATTCAAAGTCAGATCTGCATCATTTCGACAGACATGCTCGGCATACTGATAGAAAACCTTCTACACCTCCTGCAATGCCACCTGCGACCAGCGAAACTACGGCAGGCGTACTCCTGTCCTAGAGCTTGTCAGCCTGGCCTCTGAACATCTGGAAAATAGCGCACATTTCCACCCACGACCATTGCTACTCCCAAATTATAGGATTGATGATGTTTTGATGAAAATCGGGATTAGCGAAAAGTTGCAGGTACGTAACCGATCCATAGCCGAACCGGCGGCTAGCACTCTGACGGCAGCAGTGACCATCACTTAAGCACTTGAAAACGTGAGAACGCGTCGCAAAGGGTGTGCTTATGATGCATCCTCATATCATCTCTTCTGTTTATTCTGTGCGATACGCCTCGTCCCTACACCTTAGTAAATCTTATGAACGAAAGTCCGGATCAAGTCCTTCCTTGTCACGGCTCTAGAAGGCGCAACGCCACTTTTCGCATCAACGGCAACGCTCGAATCTTAACCTCGCTCAATAGTATTACCGGACGAAGCCAGATTCGGATTGCAAGGCTTGTAGACGATACACCTCATCATGCGTGGTCTCTTTCGTAGTTCGAGTCTGGCAGCTTAACGGCGATAAAGCTTAACGCCGCCGAAGGGAGCGGTTCCCGAAATGCATAAGCACGCGACGCTATCCTCCCGCGGTGAAAACAGCACTAGCTCATGCGGATGTACTGCGGCTGAGATCTCTGTGGCCGAAGGTTGCGTCAGTTCGCTTGTGGGAATATACGAACGGAGGTTAGACTGCGGCTTTAAGTAGGGTTTAGTCGCACCGACAGAGCCTTGTGAAGGAAGTCGAAGGGTCCGGCATCATGAAAGGTAGTGTATAAAAAGGTTCCTTCGTCTTCATCTTCTGCTTCAATACAAAACGAAGTACAGCTTCTCTCCAGGAATCCTCATACCGTATCCATACCTCTTAATCAACAACAACACCACCTCAAAATAACAGTCTGAATATTTCACCACTATGGGTTTCATCTACTCCCAACTCTTCGCTTCTCTCCCATCTCCCACCTACGACTACACCGGCAAGACCATCATCGTCACTGGCTCCAATGTCGGTCTCGGCAAGGAAGCAGCACGACACTTTACTCGGCTTGGTGCCTCTACAGTCATCCTTGCAGTACGCTCCATTGAGAAAGGCGAAGCAGCGAAGTGCGAGATCGAGTCCAGCACACGGAAGCAAGGCATTGTCAAAGTAATGCACCTCGACATGTCTTCCTACCAAAGTGTTCTTGACTTTTCAGCCAAGGCATCAAAAGAGTTGGATAGGATTGATGTCGCACTCTTGAACGCCGGTGTTGCGCGAGGCAAGTGGGAGTTAGCTGAAGGCGAAGAATCGACCGTCACCGTCAACGTGATCGCCACCTTCCTGCTCGCTTTATCTCTCCTGTCCAAGCTCAAGGACACGGCAGAGAAGTTCAACACCCGACCCAACCTCACTATCACAACTTCAGAAGTCCACGCCTGGGCAGCCTTCGAGGAACGTAAAGCGCCCGATGGCAAGATCTTCGAGACACTCAGCACAAAGCCTGAGAAGATGTCAGGTGCCATGGAGGAACGCTACCAAGTCTCCAAACTCTTAGAAGTTCTGGCAATCCGTGCGCTGGCAGAGAAGAAGAGCGCACCACAGCTTCCTATCACCATCAACTGCGTCAACCCTGGCTTGTGCCATAGTGAGCTTGCGCGCGAGGCTGGTTGGGGACTCACCATCCTCAAGTTCTTCTTGGCGCGCAGTGCTGAACTCGGAAGCCGAAATCTTGTACATGCAGCATCTCTGGGTCCGGAGTCGCATGGGCAATATGTGAGCGATTGTGTGGTTACGCAGCCATCGAAGTACGTGTTGAGCCAGGAGGGGTGGAGGGACCAGCAGCGAGTGTGGAACGAATTGGCGGCGAAGCTTGAACGTATCCAGAAGGGCATAACAAGTAATTTATAGACGTGGCAGTGCGTTATGGAGGGAAATTGGGTGTAGTCCAGCCTCATGGAAATTCACACATGTAACGGGTTATTTATGATCAATTTGCTTTTGATTCCACATACAACCATAGGATGTTGAAAACAAGTTCTCCCATCCAATCTGCCATCTGTCATGGCAACATTTTGAGAAGGCCATTATGTGCCTTCCTGTTTTTGGTAACCATACACGCGGCTGCCAAAAAAGCCCGCATACCAAAATGCTTGGTGTTCCCCATCACCCAAGTTTTCAGGGCAAAAACTCACATTTTGAGAACTTGAGGCATTGCAATAAGCTGGCACCCTGTTAGGATCAAATTTGAAGCTCTACTTTTCTATCCAGGTCATGTTTTTGTTGTTGCACCTGTTGGACAGGCAAAAAATAGCAGAAAAGTCAAGGAAACCAGTGTAATGGATGAGCGCCCTGCCCTTGATATCAATATTACGTGACATCTCCAAGGTATACCAAAAGGTAAGCACAAGAATACTTAAGCAAGTATTCTTTGTGTAGTATAATATATATAGTGCCAGCCAGCTAGCTTTGCCTCTAGCTGCTGTAAGCTAGTCTGCCCCACAGCCTTGCTGTGTGCAGAGTCGTTACAACGATCGCACTTTACGACGCCAACGTTCCGTTCCTGCCCTGTTATTCACCATCGGATGATTTTTTGGACTGACCCATTGTGTGTGGGGAGACTTGGAGATATAAAGAGTAGGTCTTGTCGACCAACCATTGTCTCATCATCCCGAATCCGTCATGGAGCGTACACTTCTCATTGGCTTTACGATTAGTCATTCCTTCAGCTTGCTCATGAGCCTTTTACTCTTATACGTCGAAATCTCGAGGTGCAGATTAGAAGGAGAAACCTGCTTCGAGAAGATTTTATCCATCATCGTTGGTTTTGGTCAGGTAGCAATCACATTGGCTGCCATCACATGCATAGCGGTCACATGACCACAAAATTTCAGGTGTCTGGAGCCACTTTTCTTCAGTACCCTCCAGGCTGACGTGGCGATCAACGTATGGCGCTCCATTCATCATATATTGTCTGGGCTCACCCTTTACTTAACTTGCTCGAAACCTTCGCTATTCCGCTAGCCCAACCTGGACAACTTCATACGTATATGGAGCATGCTTGGTCACTGTAACACTGGAGTTCACATAGAGTATAAGGCAAGGCCACGGCACCCCACAGCCCAGCATCTCTTACTAACTAACAACAGGAACGAAACTTCACAGCACACTCATAAATGCACACAAACGGGCAGGCGGGAATGATCTGAGGTACATAAGGCTGTTGCTTGCGTTCGTGATCTCTAATGCGGCCGCAGCGCTTTGCCAGTTAGCCAATGGTACGATTATCTACGTTCATTTGGTCTCGAACAGGATGACTAGTGACCAACTTTATCAAAGCATGTTACTTGTATGTATCGAAGCATTTTCAGAGATATCTCTAACATGAACAGGCTTATACGTCAACTCAACTTTTGTGCCCTCTTGTCTTCTGCTTGGGCCGAGTGGCATTTCTCCGAAGGGAATCAACAAGGGCAGCTAACTCGGACAACGACGAGAGCAACATCGGGCTAAATATTCGTTGAGAACAAATTAAGGCCAACGGCTTTAATCGGTCTAAGTTCTAGATTGGTAAATAATGTATGACATGAGTTTCTATATGTATGCGCTAGATGCTACTTACATGGTGCGAGCGCCTGCATACGCCTTGTTTTATGACCCGAGCCCCCCTGCGATATAAGCACCCTTTTGCGGTTGCTTCTGTGATCCATGATTGACCAAAGAATTGCCTTGTAAGCGAAGTTGAAAGCTTGTCTGAGACACAAGTGAGCGATTTTACCAATACTCTGTTCTGAAAACGGACCTTGATGTCTTCACTTTTTTTCCAGCATATGTTGAGGTCCCTCAGCTTGAGTGTAGGCCTCGGTTATCCTGTGGAAGACATTTTGAAATACTGCCAGTGTCGATTTTTGAGATCTTTACCATCCCATAGTTCTTTTTGGTGGAAATGTCGATGACTACTTGGGCCGTCTCACTGCTGTGGAATACATGCTGTGTAGGAGAAGTGCTTCGTTCAATGTCACGTCCAATCTTTTCCACCGAATCGACATATGTTATGCAATTATTAACGTGAAGTGAACAAGTATGCAAGAATGATTGGTGATCCATCCTTTCACGGTATGTGCTCTTGTGCGTTATTTTATCTGGATCCGCGTCTACGTCACGGGAGCGTGAAGGCAAAGCAATACGTCAGATACTGAAGAAATGTCGCCTACGAACTTCTAATTTTGGCAGAAAAAGACTGCCTGCTGCGCACGAACCATCTGCCTTTTTGTGTTCATGGTCCTTCAGCTTGGCAGGCTTT